GCGGCGGTGCCACATGTCCGAGTTCGTGCTGATGCAGAGCCCATAAATTACACTTGAGCGTTCGCTCTTCTGCTCCCGGTCGTGGCTCTTGTGCTCGAGTCTAGTTGGGGTTTTGTTTTTCCCTTTTCGGGAAATGAAGAAAATCGTCGCAGTATTATTCTGCGTTAATAGTACTGGCGTATGGCTCTAGTGAGGTTTGAAGTGTGCGTTTCTTTGAGAGGTGGAGGGAGAAGGGTAGAAATGCAGTGTTTCCTCCGACTTCGGCAGCGTAGCTGACTTTAATGGCAGTGGCACATCAGGCTGCGTAGTGCTAGTTGTGTCCTTACGGTGCTTGGAAACAGAAATGCCTTTCTGAATGAAATAATGAAAGACAGCACGTTCGGTGACTGAGTTGGGTGAAAATCATGGCAAAATTGCAAGATCTGCAATTTAGTGCTCAATTTAGTACTTCTCATTTTCTCACCTCCTGCTTTGCTCCTGGAATTCTATTGTTCTTGATGTTTTAAGCTTTTTTTTTTCTGGTTGGATAAGCGCCTGGAATTGTTCTTGATGTTTTAAGCTTTTTTTTTCTGGGTAAGGTGTGGATTCCGCTATGTATATTGCCATTGATTTACTGTTTGCTTGTCTAAAACTGTTCTAGTAACAGCTGGATTGCAGCCTTGAAAATGAAAGAATGAAAATACACAGCAGTGTTACAAAGGAGACTGGGATTCATTAGGCTCCTCCACTCTGAAGCCCTGATGTTCTTGATGTTTTAAGCTTTTTTTTTCTGGGTAAGGTGTGGATTCCGCTATGTATATTGCCATTGATTTACTGTTTGCTTGTCTAAAACTGTTCTAGTAACAGCTGGATTGCAGCCTTGAAAATGAAAGAATGAAAATACACAGCAGTGTTACAAAGGAGACTGGGATTCATTAGGCTCCTCCACTCTGAAGCCCTGATTCTGCAAATATTTAAGCATATATGGTTTCACATGCCTGAGTTCCCCACCGAGTTCCACGCGATTACTGCTTAATATCAAAACTGTTTACAGTATCAGGGCCATAAAAGAGGCTTTACAAATCTGGTTTAAATTACACTATTTTTAGTTTTCTGTCTATAATGAAAAGTTTATTCAGCCATTTATGTTTCTTGGGAAAATGTTCTGAGATAAAGCACTGTTTAAAAAGACTCTGGCATCCATCCTGTAAAAGCCTAGACAGAGATTTGTCAGGGAGTATGAAAATACTCCATAGTGTATTTGCAATATGCTAAGTATGGCATAAATTACATGCAAAGTCATAATCTCTTAATATGTAAACAAGACTACAAGTTGCAGTTCTGACTACCACAGTAAATGTCTTTCTTGTGTATGTGTAAAGTAGAAAATACAGAGCTTCTCTCTTCTCCTTTGCCCAAATGTGAATGGCTGAAATAAATGTCATCTGTAGCTTAATAAGGGAGTAGTTATCAGGTATGTATTTATCTCACTAGATCCATGAGATATATGTAATCCCAGTCACAAGGATTATACTTTTGCATGAAAAATTAGTGTCAGACAACGAAATAGCTTCTCACTACTGCAGCATTCCAAAATGCTCAGTACACCTTTAATGCAAGTTTGTGTGGTAGGTACCAAAAGTGACTTTGTGGAAAGTTTATTTTGGCTGCACAAAAATGAGCCTTATTCACTCTTTTTTGGAGGTATGCTAGGACTAACATTCTGTTTCCTTTCATGTATAAATTAAATCATTATAGAATCCCCAGGGAAAGTATAAATTCTTAGGGTTGAATTAAATCATTGGCCTCACACAGCGAGAGCTGAAAATACAAAAGCTTTGTGCCTCCCCAGACACAGAACTCACTTCTGCAAACCTAGGCATGTGAATGGCTTCACCTCTGTAAGTGATTCAGGTAGAAGCTGGTGAAACTTGTCACTGGAATTCTAATATTCATATGCTTATGTTTTTGGTATCCTAGAGAGGGAATATATACATAATTTTATAAAGTTTTTATCCTATGCTACTGTAAACCAGCACTTGTGTATGATCCTCAGTATTCTGCTTGATCACAGATTTACTGATGCCTGTGTTGCTAGCTGTTGAATTTATTAAAAGAAATGCGGATATATATATATATGTAATATTTTGCTTTCAGTGGTTAATGCCCTATATGTACATTTTTGTGTTACTTTACTGAATGGTCTTAAAGCTGGTTTACCTGTCTGCTGGGAACACTTGTCTAACAGAGAGAGTGTAATGCCATCCATTATGCTGCTTTGCATAATACTGTTGATAATTCAGTTATCTACAGGTTATTTGGTCATAAAGGCAGATCTGTGTGTTCAGCTGTGTGCTTGCATCTTGCTAAAGTTTGACTTGTATTCTGAATATGAGTTTTAAACAAACAACAGTAAAATTTTTAGGTTGGATTGTCCACTTACTGTTCTGTGCTGTTACTATGTATTTATCTAAAAGAGCAAATAAGTTGTTATCTTAATGGGCCCAGGAAAAAAAGAAGTAACATAGTTTCTTAATGTAATGATGTTAGTATCTTGCTCTCATATCACCTGGAAGTTATTTTCATACTTCAGCTCAGGGTTTTCTTTGCATTCCCATATGATGGCAAATTCCCTTGAGCCCCATCAAGGCAGACCAACTGGGATAATAAAGAGAATATTTCGGTTTTGCATCTATGGTCTAACTAGGGTTTTAAAAATGAAAGCCATGAATTATACAACTTTGAGAGTTTGTCCCAGTGTTATGAAAGGTGAAGAAGAATCCCAGGCGAAGTACAAATATCTCAATGTCAAGTCTGATTGAGTGACCAATAAAATGAACATTTTTTTACTTTTTGTGCCAGAGGAGCTTTGCTCGGTTATTCTGTGAGGTTTCTGCAGTTGGGCAGGTTTGCTTAGAGCCCCTCTTACTTTTGGCAGGTGTCTTTTTGTTTGATCAAGTCTTGCATTTAGTGATCTGGTAAACTGGAGATGTGTCTCAACAACACGGCAGGTTTTCAGTGATTTTTGTTCATGGATGTGCTCCTGTTTGCTTTTTCTTTCATGATGGCTTGTAACACACTGTTGTGGATTGCTGCGGTGAGTTTGATAAATGCTGTGTCTGTCCAAGTTAAGTAAGAGGTGAATTTTAGGCATGGCTTTATACAGTTCTTTTGAAAGTTTTATGAGTTATGCAAACAAGTAATATTTCTAACTGGTGAAGTGGAGATGTTAAGAACCAAGGGACAGATAAACATAAAATAAATGGAGATGTTTATTCCAACGATAATGAGCATGAATTGGACATTAAAGTGTAATGGAGTAAGACAGCTATGGAGGAGGTGTGCTGACTTTGCTCCAGGTGTTTGTTCCTCAGGGACTTGCAGTGTAAAGCACCAGAAATAATTCAAATTCAGTATTTGTAGCAGATATCTGTTGCTATGACAGTCAGAGGCAAACTTACAATGCAGTCTGTAAGAAAACTAATTCATTGTTGCACTGATTGAAATTTTGTAGGTGGTGACAGTGGATTGGATGGGTTAGGAGGACCAGGAGTTCAGCTTGGAAGCCCTGATAAGAAAAAGCGCAAAGCAAATACACAGGTAAATTCCCTTTGCTTCTTTGGATTTCTTAATGAATAGTGCACTCACACGTTGTTGGCTGGTATGACTGTCTGGCATTGCTCAGAATATCTGTCTGTCGTCACAAATAGCAGCTAAGTGCAAAAGATTTCAGTTTTACCCTGAAGTTGGAATCTTTATCATACTAGTTATTTGCGCCGAAGTTATTTTAATCTCTGTAGGCTGCCAAAGACCTCTGAAGAGAGGAGCACAGTGAGACTGCAACAACTTGTATTTTTGCCATATGGATTTGATTCTGAGACAGACTTTCTTTTAATGACTTTGTTGTAGCCATTGGTAGAAATCTGTGCAGCATGAGTTGTTGCCATGAGACTACTTCTCTCTTTACTTTCATTCCTGTACGTGTGGATTTGTGGCTAATGAATCAGTACACTCTATTAATGCTTTGACTAAACTCTTGTCACACTCCCCAAGTGATTTTTTTAAGCAAAAGCTGTGAGGCAGGTACAGCTCCTTTCCAGTGAATCCCTGCAGTTTGACATTTCTATGCAGTTTTTCTTTGCAGAAAAGGAAGCCTGAATACAAAACACGTTAAGCAATTGGCTATCTGTAGTGCAGAATTTTCATTTGTGTGTTCATTCAGCTTTGAGTAAGAGTATCTGTTAATTTGGTACTGCCCAGAGAGAGTAACTTTATTTATGTAGGTCAAACCATCACTTAGTTAGGCCTATCCAGAGTCCAATGAGATGTGGATCTGTTTTATTAATTTTTGTTTTGTTTTAAAGTAGTCATGGTGAAACCTGCTCTGAGAAACATTCAGTTACTGTAAAAGGTTTCAAACCTCTTTCTTGGTGGAGCTTTCCTTGTGTTCTGGAGTGGTGTTAACTGCAGAGGACATGCAGATTAGCTTCTGCTCTTTTCTTACCAGGTTCAAAATTTGCAGCAAAGCAAAATTTTTAATTTTTTTTTTTTAAATATATGTTCAGTCTAGTCTATTAGTACCTAGGAGGAAATGCTTTCTGTGAGCCCAGTTAGTGTGAGGGTAAACCTGGTAGATGTTCCCTACAGGCTAGTTTAGAATGAAATTCAATTGTATAGCTACTTAGGTGACATTTAAGCAGCCTCTGGGCTCCATTAAACACTTGATTATGCTCTGTAACCAGAGCTTAATCCTTATATTTTATACTTACTGACTATGCTTTGCAGACTGTCCACAATCACTGAATGCTTGTAAGGAACACCTCTCTTTGCTATAGAAATATACAGAATGTAGAATATTCTACAGAATACAGAAAATACCAATCTGCTGACTCCTATATTCTATATGCCTTTTCAGGGTTACAGTAACATTAGGTTTGTATATCCTTATAGAAATGGGGTGTCTTAAGAGATATATGTTCAGTAACATGAACCCAAAATGAAGCTAAGGGAATGCTTCAAATCTGCTCTCCAACATTCAGAAATACTTTGTGCATGTGTTTGTGACACTTTGCTTTCTGTGTTGTTGCTTGTCTTCTGCGAAAGATGAAGAAATAGAAGTTGCATACCAAGTAGTATATTCAGAAGGATGGTTATGCAACTGCAAAATTTTTCAGAGACGGAGACTACTATAAATCACTATGTTATCTGGAGCCCAAACTCCTCTCTTGCCTCTGTACTGAAATTTCAGACAGCCTGGCAGGGTAGAGTGGGTGAGTTTTACACAACAGCTGAACAGTTCTTTCAGCAGTAGTATTGCTAATCCAGGACCTTTGTGGTTGGTCTGTCTTGCAGGGAAATACTAAAACTAATTTGAATATTGTATTTAAAATATTTGTAGGGATCATCATTTCCTCCTCCATCTGAATATGCTCCACCGCCGAATCCAAGCTCTGACCACCTTGTAGCTGCAAATCCATTTGATGACAACTATAATACTGTGTCTTATAAACCACTTCCTTCAGGAAATCCATATTTCAGTAATCCTGGTTATCCTGGCTTTGGAGGCTATAACACTTTCAGAATGCCACCTCATATGCTGCCCAGAGTGTCCTCGCCATATGGTGGTTCTTACTCCCTGAGAAACCAACCACATCCTCTTCCTCAAAACCCTGTGGGCATGGGTTTTAGTCGACCCCACTCTTTCAGCTTTGGTCCACATGATAACCCAGGTTTTGGGAATCAACCACCTTATAGTAGTGGTCAGATAAATCAAAATGTCAATATGCCTGCTCAGCATTTTAGGCCAAATCCTGGGGAGAACTTTGGCCATTCTGGTCAGATACCTCACCCTGATGTGCCATCTAACTTTGGCCCTGGAAACAATCCAAATTTCCCAAATTCTCAGCTAGAGTCAAACCATTCTTTTGTTCCTCCACCAAACACATACAACCAGACAAAATCATCAGCACAGAAACAAGACTTTAGTCAAGGAGCAAGCAAAGCATCCAGCCAGAACACTGCTGCTCATCAGCATCATCACAGGACAGAGGACATTGTGAGTCAAGGTAACAGTGACCTAAAAAATGCTACTCGAAACAATGTGGTGAATCAGGATAACAGCCATTCCAGCAGTGCTGATAACACCAGTGCTGGCCATTCAAATGGGACTCAGGGCAAGTCCCGCCAGCCTCGAGGAACCGCGGAGGGATGCAACTCTGAAAAGAGCAGCAAAACACCTCTTCATCCCAGTCGTCATGGGCACTCGTCCTCTGAACCTGTGTATCCGTGTGGGATTTGTACACATGAAGTTAATGATGACCAGGATGCCATCCTGTGTGAAGCCTCTTGTCAAAAATGGTTCCATCGCATCTGTACGGGCATGACGGAGTCAGCTTATGGCCTTCTCACAGCAGAGGCATCGGCAGTTTGGGGCTGTGATACTTGCATGGCTGACAAAGATGTGCAGTTAATGCGCACGAGAGAGACTGCAGGGCCACCTGCACTGAACACAGAGGGCTAACAGCCTGCACTGCTGGTAGTGGATGAAATACTTGCTATGAAAATTTTGGTTACAAATTGGGTACTTCACTTTCTGCAGACAATCAGTTGTGTTTGATTGCTGTTATCTTTTTTTTTTTCCCCCAATCTGTTTTCATTCATAAACTTCCATCTCGGCTTTTGTGCTCTTAGTTTTATGTGTGCAAATGTTTTACAGGATGGAGTATCTTTTGTTTCTGATTAAACTGTAAAACATAACTGAGGACTGATCACAAGTAGGATGTGCATTGACAATTTTATTGAAGGAAAAATGTGCCTGTATGAATAGCCCTAATTTGCTAGTATTAATGTGTTAACTAACACTAGCATTTAGTGCTCAGTTTTAATGGTACTTTATTTGCAAGTACTCATTTTTTTCTTTTTTTTGGCATGAATGTCTGTTATTGATGTTCTTGCTAGCCTTTCTTTGACTATAGTGGAGATGACATGGAGGAATGTGCAGTATTAATAGTTAGTTATTTTAGGGTAAATACAGAGAATTTTGTATGTGCTTTTTCCTATTTTTGAAGTGAAGCATTAACATGCTATTCAAAAAACTGATGAATTAATGCTTAGTAACACAATGAAACCTGCTAACTCTTCCACATTTCTATTTCCTTGAAAAGGCAATAATCTCCACTGACTTCTCAGCAAATACTTGCTGAAGGCTCTTGCTAGGTTTTGCAGTATTTGGAAATAGTTATGAAATACAGTTAAATTGGAAAAAGAACACATCAAGTTGATGAAGTCCAGTGCTTTAAATCTAGAGAATACCAAAACTAGGGTTGCATATGTAACCTGAATTCATTTATCTTGAGGACATACATTAGGATACAGTCTCTGCACCTGTCATGGTTGTGCAGTCATGCAGCTCTTTCTCTTCCTTTCCCACTGATGGTTCCAGTCTCCTGCCTCAGTGCTGCTGGAGAATTGTGAATGAACTAGTGCACGGGAAGTCCTGCCCATCTTCTAGGGCTTTCACCTAGAGCCTGCTCAATCATCCTGAGCTTGCACAGTCCACTTGGCACGAAGGAGGGTCCAAGGTGATGGAGTGTGCTCCACACGGGCTCTGAATTGCACAATAATTTGGCCAGCAAGGTCTTAAAACTAAATTCTCACCAGTGCCTCAGCCAGTCTTGCAGTGAGGGGGAAGGAAATCTAGAGTGAAGAATAAAAATGTGACTTTCATATCAGGTGAGTTTAGCTCGCATCAGGACTAAGGAATCAGAAGTTTAGCTTCTTTGCTAAACCTGATATCTTACTGACAAGTATGAATGGCACTAGAGCTTCATATGTGATGCTAAGAATTCTGTTTTAATATGGCTAATTTGATCTTATTCTTGATCTTAAAATAACTCCTCTTCTTTTTTTTAATGTGGGGGAAAATTTAATCTAGCCTTGAACAGTTCAGCCTTAGCAGTGATAGTTACATGTGCAACTGAAAAAGTGTTTCTTTAGAGAGAAGTGTTGTTTTGGCTTAATAAAAGGAGGCATGGTAATAACAGACTCTGCTTGTAATACACACCACTGTGCTGGAAACTTAGTCTTTGAACAGCAATTAAATCACATGTCAAGATTACAGGTACTAGTCACGTTCCTTAATGTGATAAATTTTCAGGTCTATGATGAGTGATATAGGAGCTTGTAGAGTACAGTCATCTAAATAAAGAGGTAGTTGTTATGATAAGCTGTGCTAATGAGTGAAAAGTAGGGCCTGTTTGCTAGTTCACCATCATATTTGAGTTTAAGTGGGCTCTACTGTGGTACATTCCTGGAGAATACTGTGCAGATCTACATAGCTCTTCTTGTTTTATTTTAAAAGTGAAAAGTTCTACTGGATAAGTGCAGTATTGCCCTCCTTTTTTTTCTTGTCCCTCATCAGGAAAAAGAAAATGATGTCTAATGTGTAAATGACACATTTCATATCTTAAGGATTTCCTGTATGGAGGTGCAAAGAAAGTTTCCAGGGCCTGTGTTTTCATCACTAGTTGTTTTAATTTAGTACAGAAACTAGACTTAGTCTTGTTTTGTTAAAGGTGTGATACTTAAAAACAAACAAAAAACCCCCAACAGAACAACAACCTCTCTTAGAGAGACTTATTCTTCAGTAGTTTTCCTAATGACTGACAGACTGTTAGAATTTGCTTTTGGTACCTGAAGTAGCAATTAAACCAAACCTTGTTTAGTTAGATTTGTTCCTCTGGGAATCAGTTTAATCTCTGCAACAATTTGCACTGTGAAGGTAGTGGAGCTGGTTCACACCTACAGCAAGGTAAACAAAATAACAGAACTTGCTCAGTGGAAATTCAACAAAAGCTCCAGTGATGATATTGTTACCCAAATCTGCTGTTCACAGTACCTGTCCCACTCCCACACCCTATGCCTGTTCAGAAGATTTTTGGGGTATCTCAGAAGTCCAATTAATGTTTAAACATTTTGGAGCAGATGTATTTAAAATAGCCATGTATTTCTTAATCTCTTTCTCAACCAGACATGAAGTTAGGCAAGTATTTTCTAGATTTGCTGTTCAGACATGAGTATTTAAATGCAATGTTCTTAAAAACTTCAAATCAGCTGGAACATCATTTTATAAGGCCTTAAATTGTGTATTTGTGAAACTTACTCTAACAATTTATTTCAGGTTTTCCAAACTGGTACTATGTTGGGTTTGTAACCCAGTAAATTTTCAGCATTTATTAACCTCCAAGTTCAAGGCATTAGCAAATGCCAGTTATAGCAAATAAAACCAAGTGAACAACAAAACCCAAACTTGTCAGCACACTGATCCTAGAGATATGACTGATGAGGATCTCCTAAAATCATCCAGTCAATATGCTTGCCCTACTGATACACTCTTGGCATACTTGAACACTTTAATCTAGAGAGTGGGTTATATTTTGTTTTTCTCTGCATGTATTGACTAGTAGTAGTTCAAGTATGCACAGGAAAAACAGCAATCATGTTTAATTAGGTACTAGGAAAATGTGAGCTGATAGAATTAGAAGTTAGTTATAGAAGGGTAGGTGGGAGGGAGGGAGGGTTGCCTAGAATAGGTGAAGTTTTTTGTAATACTCTACATGAAACAATTTGTATTGAACTATCATGTGCTTCATTCATTACTAGTGATTTAGACTGTGCTGGTGCTGCACACCAAAAATATTGCAAAGATTTTGTAAGTCTTGCAAACCTTAACATTTTTATGGGAAACGCCTGTGTCCTTTTTAAATTGTTCCTTGTCATGGTCAGAAATGCAGCCTAAATTGCCCAAAATGTTCTTTCTTTTTCCCCTAGGCTGAAATAAATAGGTATAAACTGGATTGTACTGTCCTTAATACTTAGAGGTGGGGTTTGCCAGTGACCAACTTTAAATGAGAAAACATGTAATTTTCTCTTTAAAATACTTGTTCAATTGGTGTCAGGGTAAGTGACAGTATATAGGCTAGAGGGCAGATATAAAAAAAATCCTGTTTCTTGCTGCTTTTTGATCCTCTCTACAACTTGAAACAAGCAAGTTAACTGTTTGTGCCTCAGTCTCTTCTTTCAGAAGATCAGACTAATGCTTACTTCCCAAGGTTGTTTAGAGACCTAGTTATTATTTGAGATCTTCAGATGAAAGAAACTAATGAAAGTAATATAGTTTGCTCTGCTTAAAACAAAAGTATAATTTTGGGGGCTGCTCAAAGAAGATTATACTTTGTGACCTCTGAAGTTTTTAATCTAAGAACCAGTTTTGTAATCACATTTTTCAGGCTTAACTTCAAGCATGTGAGAATTAATGAAGTCAGTGGAACTGCATGCACACAGTGAAGAATGTTTCAGAGTGTTTGCAGTTTGGGGCCTGGGATATTTGCAAGTGAAATGCTTTTATGGTTTGAGATTTTTACAAAATCAATGGTGTTCAAATGTAGCACCTTTTAAACATTTGTCTTTATTCCAACTTACTACGATAACACACCTGCATTAAATATTTCCCTTTCATTTTATAAATAACCATTGCCTGGCAGTAAAAGTATTGGTGTAACATTTAAAATAAAAAGGAAGTCATGCTTCTTATCATGTTGTATGTGACTTAAATGACTGTTTCATATTAAAACTAATCTTTCCTTATGTACTGCTTAAATATACCTGTTTTGGGATATCGGTTCAGTACTTTTTATACAATCTTGAATGTGTTCCACATTGGTGACATGTATTTTTGCAACAACTTTTTTGTTTTGATTTTAAATTAGAGCATGTCTGATGTAATACATGCATTAGTGCTGTGGTGTGTGGCAAAGTTAATGTATGTAATTCAAATTGGAAAAGTTTCCAGACTTTGTCCAACATTAACCCTGTGGCCAGGGATTAAATTACTATGTAATACAAATTATTTCATACCATGATGTGTTTTAAGCTACTCTATGAAGTATGTGAAACATTATTGTTTATGGATTGGTAGCTGGTGTGGTATCTTGCATAGAATGAGGAATGATAGATGGTAGCATGATAATTAAAACTGAGTACCCTTCAGAACACACAGCACTGATGTGCATTGTCATCTTGTTACCATAACTGTTAGTATGAATTTCTTAATATTATCCACTGACAAATGGGTGAACATTTGGTAATCGGCTCATGGGTGTGAAAATTCTATTCTAACACTCCTCACTTCGTTTACAAAACATGTAATTTTTATATCTATTGGAAGTGATTAGATACATGCAGGAGGATGTAGAACTGGATGTATTTTAAAGTTATTCTGCAATTGCCAAGTTTTGTCTGAAGCTTTCTATATTAGAATAGACTCTTCCTTAAAATTGGAAACTAAGTGTACTTAGCAGAACTCTTTAAGGCAATATAACTATCACACTACATCTTGAGTTATGCACATTCATTTCTTTATATGGAACTCCTCTGATTTGTTGATAACTTATGCTTTAGATAGAAAAAAAAAGGATGCCTTTAGTGGCCTAGTGTTGTGTGTCATCAGTTCTGAGGTGATTT